AGAAACAGTAAAATTAGCAATAATAAAAGTGTTGATAATAACGAAATATCAAGGTAATAATGATAACAGTAACAACATAACTATACTAAAAATAAGATAAGCATGGATAACAGATAAACAGATAGATAAATAGACAAACGGACAGACAGATAAATAGATAGATAGATAGATAGACAGGCAGATGGATAGATATACTAATAGATAGATAGAGAGATAGAGTGAGAGAGAGAGAGAGAGAGAGAGAGAGGAAGGGAGAGGCATAAGGAGAGAGAGAGAGAGAGAGAGAGAGAGAGAGAGAGAGAGAGAGAGAGAGAGAGAGAGAGAGAGAGAGAGAGAGAGAGAGAGAGAGAGAGAGAGAGAGAGAGAGAGAGAGAGAGAGAGAGAATGAGAGAGAGACGAGAAAGTGAAAGACAAAGAACAAAAAAGTGGACAAGAGATAGAAAATCACAGAAACAGGAAAATAACAACAATAACAACAACAACAACAAGAAAAAAAACAACATAAACAAATCAAACAAATATCTAGCAAAACACACAAATCCTACCACATGCACACTAACCCCCCCCCCCCCCACCCTCCCAAGCAATGAAGGTGAAGTGCGCGAAAGAGATCCTCCCTCCCCCACCCCCCACCCCCGTTTCTCCTCCCCTTCCCGCTCCCCTTCTCTCTCCCCCTCCCCCTCCCCCCCGTACCCTCGCTCCGTTTTCTATCAGCCTCATATATCTGGCGGACGCGCACAAAAGGTGTAATAAGAACGAATAATGGAGAATAAAAGGAACTAGAAGACGAAAGCGGATTAGCAAAAAGGTATTAAATAATGAAAAAAAAAAAATGAGATAGTGAGGAATATTACAGATTGATAAAAATGATAATGTGATGAAAATAAAGCTAAAAGATAGTAAAGTTGATTTAATTTTAGCTCGAAAAGACCATCCATTCTAGGATGAACAAAAAATGGAGATGATGATGATGAATAATGAAAATGAAAATAGTAAAAATTATAATAACGATAATGGTGATGATGAGGATGATGATGTTGATCATAATATTAAAAAGCAACAAGAAAACTTCGACGGTAAAGATAATACAAACACGAACATGCAAGACGAAAGACAAAAAAAAAACATCGGACATTGGAGAAAAAATATAAACATAGGATCTTGACTTTAAGAAGAAAAAAAAAATAATAAAAAAGCCAAGAGGATAGAAGGAAAATGATTTTCAAAAACCCAACCAAAAACTAAAGCCCGGCAGTGCGTTTCTTGCGAGGATCCACATAGTCCAGATCTGCATTAAGATTACAAACATGATTTACATACTAGCCGGATCTCAACTCCCTTTGAAATTAGTTTCCCCGGCAAGATGAAGGGAGAATTAGAAAATGGGAAAATAAGGGAAACAAAAAATGGGAAGATGAGTGAAATAGAAAATGGAAAGATGAGTGAAATAGAAAATGGGAAAATAAGGGAAACAAAAAATGGGAAAAAAAGAGTGAAATAGAAAATGGGAAGATGAGTCAAACAGAAAATGGGAAGATGAGTCAAATAGAAAATGGAAAGAAGAGTGAAATAAAAAATGGGAAAATAAGATTACCAGAAAACGGGAAAATGAAGAAAATATAAAATGAGAAAATAAGAGAAAGAGAAAATGGGAAAATGAGGGTCATAAAAAATGGGAAAATATGGAGAATAGAAAATGGAAATGTGATAAATAGAAAATGGAAAAGTAAAGGAATTAGAAAATGGGGGAAAATAAGGCAAATAGAAAATGGAAAATAAAGGAAATAAGAAATGAGAAAATAAGGGAAAAAGAAGAGGTAAAAATAAAGGAAAAAGAAAAGGGAAACAGAAAAAAAATCATGGAAATAAGAAAGAGGGAAAAAGAGAAATAGAAAATAAGAAAAAGAGGGAAATAAAAAAGAGCAAAATCATGAAAATAGGAATATACTGAAAATAAAAAAGAGAATAAATAAAGAAAATAAATTATTACTATCATCATTATAATCATTACCATTATCATCACTAATACAATTTTCATCATCATCTTTATTACCATCACTATCAACACCATAATAATAATTACCAATATCACAATAATCATCACAGTTAATATTATTACAATCAATATTACAATAATCCTATTTATCGTCCTCATTATTCTATCATTATATAAATTCAGAGCAAGTCTTCCCCTGAAACTCGTTCTGCGTTCACCGTTCCACTATCGCGAGCTGGGATAAGGACTGGCGCGGCGGCCAGGCATCTAATTGGTTTCTTTTTCTTCATTTTTCTGTCTCTTTAGGTCATTCTTGCTTTTATTTATTTATTTTTTTATTTTATTTTTTTTTTTGGGTGGGGGGGAAGTGAGGGGGAGGTTAAAGTAGATGTATTTTTTTTTTCTTGTTTTCTGTCTCTTTAGGTCATTCTTGCGTTTATTTTTTTTTTTTTTTTTTTTTTGTTTTGTTTTTTTGGGGGGAGGGGGCGTTAAAGTAGATGTAGATATATATTATTTTTCTCTCGCTTTCTGTTTCTTTAGGTCATTATTGCTTTTTTTTAAATTGATATAGATTGATATAGATTGTTTTCTGTCTCTTTAGGTCATTATTGTTTTAGTTTTTTTAGATTTAAAGTAGATATAGATTTTTTTTTCTCGTTTTGTGTCTTTAGATCATTCTTTCTTTTTTTTAAGTAGATATAGATTATCTTTTTCTTATTTTCTGTCTCTATTGGTCATGCTTACTTGTCTTTTTATTAAAGTAGGTAGGTAGATAGATACGCTGACAGGTAGATAGATAGATATTTTTTCTCTCGTTTTCTGTCTCTTTTAGGTCATTCTTACCTTTTTTTAAATTTAAAGTAGGTAGGTAGATAGATTTTTTCTCGTTTTCTGCTATTCTTACTTTTTTTTTTAGATTGAAAGTAGATATGTAGATAGATACGCTGAAAGGAAGATAGATGTTTTTTTTCTCGTTTTCTGTCTCTTTAGGTCATTCTTACCTCTTTTTTTAGATTGAAGTAGATAGGTAGATAGATACGTTGTTAGGTAAATAGGCAGATGTAGGTTATTTTTTAGATTAAAGTTGATAGGTAGATAGATGATTTTATTTGTCTTCTTTTTAGTCTCTTTAGGTCATTCTTATCTTTTTTTTAGATTACAGTATATAGATAGATAAACTGATAGGTAGATAGATAAATATAGATTTTTTTTTTTAGGTTACAGTAGATAGGTAGATAGATACACTGATAGATAGATAGATAAATATTGATTTTTTTTTTGGTTAAAGTAGATAGTTAGATAGATACATTGATAGGTAGATAGATAGATAGATAGATATTTTCTTAGATTAAAGTAGATAGTTAGATAGATACACTGATAGGTAGATAGATAGATGGATAGATTTTTCTTAGATTAATGTAGATTGATAGATAGATACACTGATAGATAGATAGATAGATAGATAGATAGATAGATTTTTCTTAGATTAAAGTAGATAGATAGATACACTGATAGGTAGATAGATAGATGATTGAATACAGTTCATCAATAAGAGACAGCGTTGCAAGGGCTGAGGATATGTTGAGTTTAAATAGATCGTCTAAACCCTTTGCAACACTGACGACATAGACTGGCAGCGAAAACAAACAAACAAACAAAATCAAACAAACAAATCCATCCACTAATTCAAGAAGAGAGAAAAAAATATATAAATGAAAATGTTTGAATTTATCGTATCGTTATCCATCCACTAATTCAAGAGAAAAAAAAAATATTTATATATATAAATGAAAATGTTTGAATTTATCGTATCCCTTTTATATAATAAATGCCAGGATGGAAAAGCAGCATTGCAACATTGCTTCTGGTTGCAACGGGATCTTGATCACGTTAAACGTAAATGGAAAATAAAGTTCAGAGAGAAAAAAAAAAATTGAAGAAGAGAAGAAGAAGAAAAAATTATAAGAAGGAATATTTTTTTTAGAGGGAAGAACGAAAAGAGGAAGAGGAAGAAGAAAAAAATGTATAAAAGATAATAATAATAACATTGATAATAATAATGATAATGATTTTAACAATTATGATGA